GCTATGAGGGTTGCATATTTCCAGCTATAGTCAGTTGTATTGAAAAGAAGAGTATACAAATATTAAATTCTTTTTCAACTATAATAAACAGTTTTTATTTGAATAAAGTGAGAGACCTACAAGTCTCATTGAATATACGATGAAATATTAAAGATTATTAAAGTTTCATCAATAACCCGAATTTAATCGCTTTATAGCTTTCACGGTGCATAATTTGGTCGAATATTATAATTCGCATCTGTGTGCCAACTCATCTGAAAAACTGTAAAAATTTAACAAATATTATTAAGAGGAATATTACTGAGCTAATATTATTGTATTATTAATTAAATTTAAAAAATTATTAACTTTAAAAATTTCTGAATTTTAAAAAATTTGTGAAGAATACGCTAAAAACTTTATTAAAATGTTTCCAACAGAAGGCAAAAGTGAAGAGAGATTTTATTAATTGTATGGAAAATAAACAATAAACAATTAATAAATAACCTTAAATGGAAAATATAAAAATAAATTATAAGGTGAAGTGCTAGTAAAAAAGAAAAAATCATGCAGTTTTCTCCACTGCACAGGCGCGAAAAGCCTGATTTAAGTTTCTAGTGCCGAGGAATTAGTGGCTCACACAATTTCGAAGTTCTACCTTGATTATGGATATCGTTTATCAATTATAAATATATAATAAATTTACAGATGGTTCTTTCTTTAAAGCACAGATTCGAGAATACCCAGAATACTCATAAAAAATAATATCAAATATCACCATTCTATTGTACTTCGAAAGTTAACACGGAAGACTGTAAGCTGCTTTAATGACGATATTATTGGTTGAAAAGTTCTGGATAAAGACCAAAACTAGTTTCCGAAAAGCCATAAATAGTAACTGACATGGGAATACGATTCATTGCCAGTCTCGTAGCCATGCTGCCTCGTTCTGTGACTTTTATTTTAGTTGGTTTTTGTAATTCTTTTTGTGTTACGACCACAGTTTCTCTTCGTGAGGCATATTCTTGGTAGCCTGTTTTTATTAAATATTAAATGCTACTTTTTTGGAATCTAAAATTTTTAAATTAGATCAAATTCAAATATTATTAACTTTCTCATTCATTGTTAATTTCAACATTTCCTTTATTAAAGGTTACTTTTCAATTTGCTAGTGGTGTAGAGGATTGTCAAAGTTCAGAATGCAATTATGGCAAAAAAATTTTCGATTTTGGCTGTCGCAAAACTAATCAGAAATGTGGAACCAATATGGAATTTAAAACTATTTCTAAAATACGTTTTATGGATTCCTTGGCTAATTATTATTATAAATGCATCCACATATGTGTTTGCGTGAGTGATAAGTATGTCGTGAAAGGTGGACAATGTGTTGAAAAGAGAAATGTTTTATCGCAAATAAATCTCAGTGAAACGAAGGTGAACTGTTCAGTTAAGAAATTTTGTATTTGGATTCCATCATCTTTCTAAAAAAATAAAATTTGCGACATTTCCAAAATTAAGCCTATTAATCTTCTATATTTTTAGAACAACAAAAGTGATCAGCAATCGAATACATTAGAAGGAAATGATTCTACAAGTCACTGGGAAATACAAGTAATAATATAATAGAATTCCTTCGATTCGTTAATTGGTTAATTAAAGGAAATAGCAACTTTTAACATTTTAACTTATGAGATTTTTCCTAATAAAAAAATTCACTGAAACATGTGAAAAAATTTAATTGCCTTTCTTGTATGGTTTTACTATAATAAAAATTTTTTATTCAATGGAATTTCTTGCTTCTTTGCCCAATTTTATTATTTTTCAATAATAGAAGCCCTCTTTTAACTTTCTCATTAATACAAATTCCATTTGTCTGCCTTTTGCAACATTTCTATAATTAAATTCTATTAACCTTCTATATTTTTTGAACAACAAAAATGATCAGCAATCGAATACATCACAAGGAAACGGTTCTAGAAGTCGATGGGAAATACAGGTAATAATTAACAGTTTCTAAAAAAAATGAAAACTCACTGTTTCAATGGCAAATTGGTTTAAAGCAATGAATTCTATAAATCTTCTTCTTCTTCTTCTAACACCTCTCACCATTACTGGTCAGGCTGGCTCCAACGGCTACAAGGGTAAGACGCTTCCAAGCGGCGCGGTCTGATGCCATCGTCGACAATAATGGAAGCCATTCCTTTTTCCATCGTCTAAGTCCATATATTGCTGGTCCACCTATACGTTCAAAATCTTTTCTCACCTTATCAGTCCAGGTCTTGATTGGCCAAACTCCCTCTTGATGCCAACCGTTACATGGTTTAGCAAATAACGAAATATGCGTCAACTCGTGTGGTGGACGACGGAGAATGTGCCCAAACCAGCGAAGGCGGCGTTCAGTGATAACATTATTTATGCAAGTGGTATTTGAACGAAGATGGATGCGATGTAGTGAGATTTTATCCACTCGGCGAACCCGTAATATGTACCTTAGACAAGAGTGGTCAGAGGCAGATAACTTAATATCCTTCACTCTCATTGGCCATGTCTCAGAACCATATAATAAGATCGAACGAATCACGGCAATATAGATGCGGACTTTCGTTTTTATGGTGATTTCACGACGATTCCATAAAGGTTTCGTCAGCCGGAAGAACGCATTTCTAACTGCCGTGATCCGAGTTATAATATCATCTTTTGCCTGTCCATTTGGTATTAGAGTGGACCCAAGGTATTTCAACCGGCAATGAATTTACAAAAAGAGGCTTTTTATCAGCTTCTTGCACATAAGACGAAAAGACTTTCGTTTTATTTACATTGATCCTGGGTCCGATTCTTGCTGCAGTTTCTGACACGTTATTTAGTATTATTTGCATTTCGTTATAACTGTCAGCAAAAAGGACTACATCATCAGCGTATTCAAGATCTGTGATACGATGCTCTGGACTAATTCGCACACCTCTTGAGTGCCGACAAGCAGTGTCATTATCCAGTCTATCGCATAGTTGAATATTGTGGAGGAAAGGACGCAGCCCTGACGGACACCTGCTCTTATTTCGAAGGAATCTGTCAGCTCCCCATATACACAGACCTACGCCGACGTGCGCTCATAAAATGCCTTTATAAGTCTAATGATGATTTTATGATGATTTTCTCTGGAACACCATCAGCCTCCAAAGCGCCGCTCTATCAGTTGAATCAAAGGCAGCCGCAAAGTCGATAAAACACGTGACAGTGGGTTGCAAATATTTGAAGCGATGTTCCAACACCCTTCTTAACGTGAATATCTGGTCAGCACAACCGCGCCCTGGTCTGAAACCAGCTTGATTAGGGCGCATCCTGCTATCTCGTACTTCCATAAATCTGTTGAGTAGCAGGGAAGCAAAAATTTTTGCTGAGACGTCTAATAGGCTGATTCCTCGATAATTGTCGCGACATGTCCTATCACCTTTCTTGAGAATTGGGAGCAGAATTGCTTTGCTCCAATCATCTGGTAATATTTCTTTTTCCCATACTAGAGAGGGTTTTCCCATACATTTGTTGAAGGTGCGTTATGAAAGACAATGGACAGCATTTGAAAAGTCAGCCCGAAGATCATCTTCTCCTGGAGTTTTGTTGGCCTTAAGCTTATGGATAACTAAAATTATTTCTTCTTCTGTTGGAGGCTCGCAATTGCAAACGTATGCTTCGGCAAACGTATCAGCTATATCAGGAGCAACAGATGGCGCTTCATGGTTAAGTTTGGCCTTAAAGAATTCTTTCCATCTTATGAAGCGATCCTTAATACTTTTAATTAGTACGCCATTGCTGTCTCTTACCATTTCACTGATCGTTCCCCGAGTCATAGTTGCTTTATGAAGAAGGCCGAATAGTTTCCTATTGTCGCCCAATCGAGCCGCCGCTTCCATTCTTGAGGCCATGTCACTCCAATAAAGATTTCTGTTCCGCCTTGCTGCTTTCGTTGCAAATCTTCGAAGCACCCGGTAGTCAGGATCAGCTGACATTCGTGCTTTGGCAGCTTTTTCAGACAATTGGACAGTTATTTCCGATACCCAACTAGCGCACTTCCTACTAGTACGCGCTAGCGTGGAAGTGGCTGATTTTCGGAGACATTCCTTTAGTTTTCACCAGTATTCATTTGCCGTTCCAGAGAAATCATTGATATTTGTCTCATTGAGATGCTTCAATAATTCAGTTTTAAATGCGCTCACTGTACCCGAATTTTTTAATTTGAGATAGTTGAAAGAACTTGGGGGATGCTGTTTTCGGCGAGTTGTCAATTTTATGCGGATCTTGGCTCGAAGCATAACATGGTTAGATCCATGAAGATTGCCCGTTTCAGCTCCGCGATAGGAACGACTATCTAGTACGGAACTCTTCCAACGGCGATTGACTAACATATAATCAGTCTGGTTGAAGTATTGGTTGTCCGGGGAGTTCCACGTTCTAGATGTTTTTTATGATGCCGGAAGCAAGTATTAGTAACAAAAAGTTCATGCTCTTCGGCATAACGAAGAAGACGTTCCCCATTGGCACACCGATCTCCGATGCCATATTTGCCAATTGTTGAGGTCATCGCAGCTGCATTATGACCTAGACGCGAGCATTCCAGTCTCCCTCGATTATGATCATGTCATGTTTTGGTAGAGACTTTGTTAGCAGTTGAAGTTCCGCATAGAACTTGTCTTTATCACGGCCGGCAGCGTTGGAGCATAGACACTGATAACCGAGATATTGCAGAACTTATCCTTAAAACCGGCATAGGCCATACGGTCGTTTACCGGTTTCCACTCAATCAAAGCGGAATGGGCCTTGTCAGACATGACAATCGCTACGCCATTTCTTCCCGAGTTATTCAAAGCACCACAGTGACATAGCCAGTATCTCTGCTCTGAACCAGGATTAATAACTTCTCGAGACCCAAAGTGAGGAAGAATTCTATAAATCATCCAACTTTATAAGTAAAAAAACTAAAAATCTTTGTCATACATTCTCTGCTAAAATGCTTCAATTCTTCTTGAATGCAGACGTTTCGCGATCACATTTCGACAATTGATTCGAATTATTTACGAGCAAACGTCACTTTTGACAACGCAACTTACGATTTGAAATTTGCATGCTCGTTGTTGCTTGGATATAAATGTGGCATTAATATGATATTCAAAGAATTTCAACCAAGCTCTTTATCTGGAAGTTTCACCTCAATTAATGAAACTTGCTGGAAAAGATGTGAATGCGAAAATGATAAATATGTTAGAAGAGGTGAAGAATGCGTTAAAACTCAGCAAGTACCACTTAAAGCAGACAAATCAGCGGTACAAAGAGGAATTTCGGTGAGTTGCTTAAAATTCCGAAAGAATTATTCATTATTTCATGCACTGTTAAAATTTTCAAACACTTTCTGATATAATAAATTTGATTCAAATTAATTAAATCCTTTTCTCAAATTTATCCCGAATTTATTCTTCTTTTATTCACTTTAATTCACTTTAAACTTTTATTCACACAGCAAAATTCATCGATGCAATAAAAGCATTTTCTTTATTGAAGGTTATTTTTAGCTTCCTAGTGGTATAGTGGATTGCCGATATTCAGAATGTAATTATGGAGGAAAAATTGTTGATTATGGCTGCCACAGAACGAATGAGAAGTGTGGAACCAATATGGAATATAGAACTGTTTCTAAAACACTTTTTATGGATAACATAGTTGCTCGTTATAAATGCATGCAAAAATGTGTTTGCGTGGGTAATAATTATTTTTTAAAAAATGGACAATGTTTCAATTACGAAACTCTTCTATCGCATGGAAATCTCAATGAAACTAAGGTACACTATTACTAAACTAAAAAATAAATGGAATTCTAAAAATAACAACGAGTTGTAATTAAGGAAACGCCAGTTTTCGACTTTCAGCCTTTTATGATAAATTAAAAAATTGATCAGTGAATTGATCGTCTTTCCCCTGCATTTTTGATATATTAAATCATATTTTGCCTAATTTGATTTCTTACTTTAAATTTATTGCAATTAATATTTTAATAATGAAAAACTTTTTTAATATTTTCTCATTACTTCGAATTTTATCAGTTTGCTTATTGAATTGCTAACATTTCCTCAATTTAAGTACAGTAATAGTGAGAACGAGGAAAATAATCAAGAATTGAATAGAGCAGAAGGAAATCATTCTGCACGTCAAAAAGAAGCACAGGTGACAACCATGAAGATTTATCGTTTCAGAGCACCATTCTTTATAAGTTACCCTGCGTAAAACTTTAACTTCCTCACGTCCACTGCATTCAATATTTTAATCTTTCTTATTGTTAAATACAGACGACGGTTTCGATCGGCGATCGAGCTCCAGCAACTTCTGAATCGAATCTTTTGCGAGGCAGCGACGATTTTAACGACGTTTCAACGACTTATAATTTGAAATTCATATGCTCGATACTTCTTGGATATAAATGTGGCATTAATATGATATTCAAAGAAATTCAACCAAGCTCTTTATCTGAAAATTCTACCTCAAATAATGAGATTTGCTGGATTAGATGCGAATGTGAAAGTGAGAAATATACTAAAATTGGCAATGAATGCGTTGAAATTCAGCAACAAACTACGGTTAAAATAGTTGAAACCATTCGATCAGAACAAGAAAATCCAGTAAATTGGCATTTTTTTAACCTTATGAACTCTAAATAAATTTTTATTTCATTAATTTTTAAAATTTTCAGACAAACTTTTTTAAACATATTTTTTAGCGAAATCTTTTCATTTAAATGAATTTTAGGTGGTTAAAAATCATGAATTGTGCAAAGGAAGTCCATGTGTGCTTAACAAAATATTTACGGAATCTTGTAATAGTGAAAATAAATCCTGTGGAAAGAACATGAAACGTGTAATCATTTATCGATATCCATCTTTGTGGGAACCATATATCGATGGATGCAAAATGCAGTGCAAATGCAGTGAAGGATTTCAGGAAAAAGAAAAAGAAGGAACGTGCATTTTGGTTTCTTCGTAGATATGAAAAAGGCAAATTTGCCAATTTGCTTTATCTAATCCTTATTGTCAATCAAAAAGTAATCAAATACAAGATTATGCATAAAATATCATTTGTTAAATTTTCTTGTACGAACTTCGAATCAGCATCACAAATACTTCACAAAATCCTTTTTTCTCGTTTTAACTATTTATCGCCCGCTATTTTAGAAGAAAATTTGCCCAATTTTGATTCTTTTAATCGAATAAGTAATTACCACTGGTAAATGGTGACTTTAACTATGAAGCCTTTTCCTTAATATTTGTTATTTGTTCCAGTCTTCTTTCTTCTTTTTTCATGTAGTTAATGTGTGTTAGTATGTATATATGGTCTCGCTCCTCTGTTTGTCGCATTAAACAAACGTGTCAAGCTCCCTAGCGATAGAAGCACGAATGAGCATCACTGGAAAGGAATTAAGAGGTTTCCAAAAAAGAGCCAATTTGATAACTGCAGTCATGATCTTCGAAATTAGCTTACTGAGATATGATACCAAAAATTTGGTTCGAAGCCTAAAGCTCAAAAAGTATTGTATTGTACGTCTGAAAAGGCAGTGCAGCTGAATGAAGCAAAGAAAAATAAACTAGGTCGAATTTTTCAGTTCGGCCAGTTCTTATTGCCAGGAATTTTTCTAAGTATTACTAAGTATTTTCTTCTAAGTATTTTCTAAGTATTATAAGTATTACTTCGTCAAACCGATTTATTCAAATCGTTTCATTGCTGGAGGAATTTTTCATCGCAAACCGAAATATTTTTGTGAAACAAATGGAAAATAGGCAAGAAAATAATAAATTTTGCTCGCCGAGATTCACGCTTTTCCATCTTACTTATTTTTATTTATTCAATTTTCCATTTATTTTATATTCTTTTTTGATAAAATTTTTTTGAAATCTATTGGCTAAAATTTGACCATCTAAAGGAATTTTAAAAAATAGATAATAAATTTGATAGGAAGCAGTGGGTGGGTGATCATGCTCGCTTGCCACGCGTTAATCATATTAGAATAATCTCGGTCTGGCTGTTTTTTCAGGACGGTAAAAACAAAACTAATAAAAACTAATCACCGCACGAAATAATAAAAATCTTTATTCGCCACCTCAAACTTGGGTAATTAATAACCAATTAATATATGGACAGAAAAAATAATATTCGACGAGTTAAACCCAGAGATAACTATTTCAAAACAAATAAGAAATGCTTAAACAATGCAAGAGATGTTAAATAACAAATTGTGCAATATTGATTAATGATATATTGGGATCGAACTACTCGGGTCCCTTGATGGCACCAAAAGAACAGTTTTCTTGATAAGGATGTCCATTATAAATTGACCTCTATCCTTTATTGACATATATGAAGATAAGGAATTAATGAATAAATGAAGGACTTCATTTGGCGGGTCAGAGACTATTTTGAAACAATATATTTAAAATATTAGAAACACCGTATATCGCGACAAGAATATTTTTGCACATTTCTTTAGAAAGTGGAAGCATTTATTTTTTTTATTTATAAATCTACTAAAAAATCGATTAGATCCTTTTTTAAGTTATTTAAAATTGAGTGTTATTTTTGCTGTCCAATTTATCAAAAATGATTTTATGATAATTACGAGTGAAATGAGAATTCATTTTTTTGTGAAAAAAGTCTATTGTCTCTCCTCAATAGCTTTTGCCGCATCTGTGGGAATGGTCAACTAACGAGAAGAATCCGTGCAATAAAATTTTCAATTTTATGTTTACAGATAAAATTAATGTCCTGAAAATCTGCAAAATAATCCGCCTTTTCATGAAAATATTAAAGATATTTCATTAATTAAAATAAAGGATAAATAAAGAATAAAATAAAGGATAAAGGACGAGAATACACGCAGCATTGTTTGCTTCGGCTCCGTCGTGATTCGGATCATATGCAACGTAATGGAAGAAAGCCTAGTGGTGCAATGTTCTTGCGTACACGAAAATTTTCAAAAATTATCAAGCAATTTCCATAAATAACGCAATAGCTAATGAATTTAAATCGAATATTTAGTGATATTAGAAAAACAGAAATATTTCAGAAAGGAAAAATCAAAAAAATCAAAACTGAAATAAAAAGTTTTAAAAACGGGAATTACTTCCATTGAATCTCTTAGGGCACACCTATGCTTAATATTTCGTCTTTTTTTTGTAAAATTAATGCCACTGCTGTTAGACTCGCTCTGCTTGCTTGCCAAATTAGAATATATAGTCTTGGCGATAGAAATACAAGTGAGTGGTCAGCTTCAGCAGAATAATTTTAATTTTTGCGAAATTTTTAATATTGTTTAATTAGATAACTTAAGGACTATCTTGGCTTTTGTTACGAGGAAAGCGATGTTCAAGCCGTTCGAACCGTTTGGCATATGTGCTGCTTATGTTCACGTCCTTTATTAAATTATGGTAAAAAAAGCTATCTTTAACTCCCAATAAATTATCGTTAGCATTATCGCGAATAATATGCGCGATAATAGTCTTCTATTTAATGAAATAAGTTCACAAAAGAGAATTCGCTCACAAAAAATCGAAATCTTTAAATAAATAGCATTATATTATCCCTGAAAATGACCAATTGCCAGTTAGAAAACATTAATCTTAATTAAAAACATTAAAGATTAATCTCATATTAATCTTACATTATTCAGTAAATAGCAATATATCAATTAATATCCGTGGCAATGCATAAATTTATTAAGTGCTACGCCTCAGTCTATCAAATAAGAGAGCCTAAGTGGTTGGTAAGAATTTGCGAGTAGCAGATATGAAGTCATCAACTCTCATCAACTGTAAATAATAACCTAAATAATATAAAGTAATGGTTAATGGCAGTTAGCTTAATCTAATATCGTTTTGTTTTGGCTAATTGCAAGAATCATGGATCGATTTCTCGTTCAAAGGAATTAAAATGGAAATAAAGGAAATAAGAAGGTTATCAGAAAGTCCTGTTTTTTTCCATGTAAATCAATGGCCAAGCCATATTTATAGAAGCAGTGAACTGAAGAAGAAATTTTTTCCAATTTCGCTTACGAAATTTACTGCAATTTATTGTCCTATAGGGATCATTCGGAATATTATTAAAAGTAAAATTTATATGAGAATTCTCAGAAATTTCAATTTATTCCGAACAAATCCGATTTCAGTTTTAGCAGTTTTAAATTTTTCAGTGAAAATTTGATGAAATATGACAACTGATGATTTATTTATTTGCTGCATTATTGCTTTGGTAATATTATCTTGGTTTTCTGATAAATTCCTCAAACATTTTGTCGAAGCCAGCAATATATATTTAATTATTATATATTCATTTCCATTACACGACAACTTCTGACTTAATGAGCTAAGTTTTTTATGAGCCTCATAATTTCAAAAGTCGTAATCTTTCATTTAGTCCAATAATTTGCAAAATGAAAAGCCTTACATGAAAAAATTTCAGAATTGCATTTCTGGGCTGGCGATTAATGTTAGTTTAGTGTATTTGATCTGGAAATCAAGATTAATAAAAAATCCTTATGGAAAACTTTGTGCTGCTATTGGTTGCATAAATTTCAGTTCTGTGGTAACATTGCCCATGTATATGATCGTAGCTATTGCGATGTAAAGGCATTCATGGTCTTAACTTAATTATTTTGCTGAATAGGATCCATTCCGATTTCATCATGTTTCCTTTGTTTTTGCCACTTTCCGTGAGGCAAAAAGAAAACTATCAGAGAGAATTCAGTTGATGCAAAAAATCCACCATTTTTCTCTCTAAAATCAAAAAGCCTTAAATTCAAATAAAAATATAATTTATTTGGAAATACATCACGTAATACCTATTTCACTTATAGGCAGCTGTCTCCAGACGATGCCGACAATATTTTTGGCCAATTTGCGAACGCTATTTATTATACGAGCATATTTTTGCACGTTCTCAGTAGCATTAATCGGTTTTATTCCGTAATATATCCACTAAAATTCACAAATTTGTTTGGTGGTAAAAAAAACTTTATTGTAACGGTTTCAGTGTTCATCATCTCAGTTAGCTTCTGGTGTGGTACTTACCTATTATGTACGTTCAGGCTATATTTCGACTACCTTTTTTATTTCATTTTTGTTAACTATGGTTAATTGAATAAAAAAGTATTTAATTACTTCCGAATTTTTAACTACTTTGGGCTATCGCAAATATAAGGTTTTCGTCACCTTAGATTAGCTGTTGACACTTTGCATCTTAAGATCTTCATAGTTTAAGAGGGCACATTTCAGGTGCAGGATGCTCATATATATTTGATATAACATTATATTCGTGGCACTATATGGAAACAAAATGCGGAGAATTTTTGGAAAATGTTGAATTCTTTTCCCATATATTTTTTTTCATCATGATTATTTCGTTTGATATCCCCACATATCGCAAACTTTTACAGATTAAAAAGGTAAGATAATTTGAGCGCTACAAAAAATGAAATTCAGAAATTTCGATAGTATTTTTCACTCATTATGTCGGCAAGATGGTTTGAAAAGTAATTTCTGTTGACAAATAATATTTCAAAGAATGATGTTTCATTAGTCGTTGTTCCTCAATTTTGATCTATTTCATAGTAAATTTCCGTAGTTTTTGTTGGATTTTTTAGCATTTACAATTAAGACTCCTTCTCTTGCTTCAAAATTCTTAAACTTTCTTTCAGAAAAGCCGCAGAGGCCATTTGATGAATAATCATGCAGCAAATTTGCGTGTTGAAACAGTTAATTTTTTTCAAGTAAGACCAAAATGCCAACCAAATTTAATAGCTTAATAATGATAACTACAAATCGTGGTATTGCACGTAGATTTTGAAGACTGTTTGGGACTATACTCGTTTCAAACTAGTTAAACCTCATGATTGTGAGCATTTTTAAGGAACGCTTGGCTATTTAGCTAATTTAGAAAAACAATGGAAATATTCAGTAAATATTCAATAATTTTAGAATTGTTTGTGTTCTTTGGCTCGCGCTATTTTTTTCTTGATCGCTAATTTTATATCACCATTTTGCACCACAAAGTGGTCAATATTCGTCACCTATACTTTCATCTGGATGTTCTCTCATTTCATCGATGGGTAAAATTCATTTGTCATTTGTCATTTTTTTCGCGGATCGAGAGAAACAATGCTGAATGCTTGAGGACCGATTTGTACATCATAAAACTATTATTCAATTTCATAGTATTAATCGCACATAAATTTTGCCTGTTCTTATAACTGTGAATATCTTTTTGAAAAGTTTAGAAATCCGAAATTCCGAAGCGATCAAAATTTTCATCCGCTTTATCCATTTCCGCATGCTTTTTTACAATTGGAGTGCTAATTTGAGCTTGGATTAAAATTTTGGATTAATTGTGGACCATGGAAAAGGAAAACTTTCTATTTTTTCAGGTTAATAATTTTATTTGTTCAGTGGAATGTTTTACGTGGTCGAAGAGTTGCTGTTATGGTAAATACTGTACGAAAATAATCACAAGGGATCATTGTTGATATAGAATCGTTGTTGATAAAAAATGCTAAGGAAAATTTCTTGGGAATATGTTGTTTGTAACATTTTATCAGCAAGAAGAATTCTTTTTCTTAAGATCGAATAAAATAAATTTGCCAAAGTTGATGTCCATTTTTTTAAAAATTCAAAATCTTAATCAGTTAATCAGTTAAAATTTATTATCATAAAATTTATCTGTAATATGAACAGTTTCAATTAAATTAAACTAATTTATACAAATCTGTTGAAGATAAAATTAGCACTATTAAACTGAAATCTTTAAAATAAATCTTTTACTCCACATAAAATAGAATTATTTTCGGTTCAGGTTTTCACTTTTTATTAGAACATTCATTTTTTTCTTTCCAAACTTTCCTCAACTTTTACCTTTTCTATTACGTACATTTACGTTTGAATATTATTGAATTCGATTTTGTACTTTCAGAAAATAAAATGTGTAATATGCAGAATCTTCTCCATCTTCAAACAGTTCTCATCATCATTACTGGTTAGTCTGGTTGAGAAAGGTAAGGCGTAATAGAAAAGATAAAGTAAGGCGTCTCCAAGCTGTTCAATCCGACTCCATCGACAATCGAAAGTATTCCTTTCTCCATCGTCTAAGTCCATGTATTACTGATCCTCTTATATTCAAAATCTTTCCTGATCAGTTCAGATCGTGATTAGCCCAAATCACTTTTGACGTCATTTATCATAAGATTTAGCAATTAACGAAATAACGAAAAAATGTCAACTCCAGTGGTGGTCTAACAACATGCCGTATTCAGAGAAAGCGATTCTCTGATATACTAATGGTGCAGTTAATGCAGATGGTATTTCAGCGAAGATGAATGCAATCATGTGAAATTTTACTCCCTCCCTCCCTCCATCCCCTCATCCTTAGTAGATCCTTAAAATTTACCTTAGAGTGGTCAACGGAAGATAACTTTTTTAATATCTTCCACTCTCATCGACCGGGTGATGCTGGCGACTCACCTGTATTTCTATAGCCAAGGGACTCCCTGGCATATTGCCCAATTGCGACAAGCCAATGGAGTGGGTTTAACCAGTCCATCAACTTAAAAGAGATTTAAATGGAATGATTGGGTTCAAATTCGGCCGACGCATCAAGTTTCGCCAGGCCAATGTCTCCGAACGGGGAACAAAAAGAATGGAATAGACAATGTTGCTTAGTTTGATGAGTCGGATAGTTCGGAAAGAAAAAAATCTATCCCTCAAAAATACAGGTCACACTGTCGACTCACCCTAGAACTATATTTAAGGAAATTTTTTTGGTGCTGATCTGGTTGAAACTCATCCTATTTTGTCTTTTTATTCATAGTGACATTTATGGCTACCTATCGAACCTTTAGTATCTATAACTCATTAGGGTCTAACACCAACATTGTTGGAAACTGTCTAACCTCATAATTATTAAGGTAAATAATCTACTTACATTGTGTTTATTAAGTAAATTATATATATGTATAGCTTTCAATTCTATATATATTTATATATCCTCTGGGGAGCTAATGAAAGTTTGAAAAGAGTCGATGGAGCTCGAAGTGTTGATTAGTGGTTGACAGAGGTGGTTGATCGATTTTTAAAATAAAAACAAATTTATGGACACATGGAAAAAATAATACGGATTCAAATGAGTGATTTTGATTCGAAGTCATCGTTGCCGAATATAATGCTTGCATTGTTCGCCGATTAATGATACAAAATTGAGGCGCTGAGAGGGTTTTTAATGCATTTTAAAGAAATTTAAGGAGATATTTGTGCCTTCTAAGAAATAGATAGAAATAGAATTAGAACTGTTTCACAATATTTTAAAAGCGAAAGAGGGAGTATCCTCATAAAGCTAGTGAAAAGCTAACATTATCGTAATGAAAGTAGCCCTAGAACCACTTTTAAGAAATATTGTTTAAGATCGTGCTGAGAATACCGGTGAAGAAACCGGTGGTCTAGAAGATCACCGGCATCTGAATCGCTAAATAAATGAATTCTCCAATCAGTAAGGTGAGTCAACATTTGAGGATTTGGCTTTTGCGAGATTAAGCATCCTGAAGGTCGACGTTAATTACTTCAATTCCATGAATGAAAGGAAGATGGAGGAAATGGTTTTATTTTACTGTATGATGACAATTGATTTTTCAGTTCACTAGTGAAAACTATCGAAATATTTCCGTCATTCGTTCCATCATGCGTGCCAGTACATATCAAAAATGTATGAAAAAATCAAGTTTATCATTTGGGTGGAGATTGCTCTATTCACTTCATTTGTTTGCTTATAAATCAGTTCGTTAATCAATTTAGAGCAATCGAAAATAAAATTGTTGCGAAGTACTATCGTTGTTATTCGTCTCGCTTTTTCCACAAATTATATCGTTAAATTATTATCTATAAATTATGTCATCGAATTTCGCATATTTCAACGAGAATTATATGTTTGAGCACTTCGACGAGCAACAATATGACCCGCAATGGACGAAAATAAATCACTATGATACGATTTGTAATAATTCGTTTGGAAAAAACAATTGGAACATTAACGAACAAATGGAACAAACAGCGACGACCACCTCGGAAACAGTTATTTTTTTTATTTCAATTATTTTGATATAATCACTTTTGCTAATATTTCTCCTTTGTTCGAATGAGTAATAAGTAATCTTTTTGCTTCATTGGAATGTACGGTCTTCCAACTGGTTGTTCTTTAATTTTTTACATCTTTAAAAAATGAAAAATTCCGTTTTCTCTATAAAATTAATGAAGAGCTATGCTTAAAGTTCAATATTTCAGGCCTCGAAGTGTTGTGTTTGTTGAACCTAAAAGTAGTACTAACATTGATTTTGAAACCAATAATAATCGTTATAATCACTCAGATCACATTGATTATCATCAGCACACTTTGAATAATTGTTATAATTGCACAATTGCTTGCACAGATGCTCAGTCGCATTGTTTGGCAAATGTCGATGAATTTCACTTAACATATACAGACTCAAATAATTCAGAAATCCCATCGCGTGAACAAATTCTTAATGAAATTATTCAAGAATGTAGTCAAATTGAAATGCATCATAGCTTATCATCGACTGTTTCATCGCATTCTTCTTCACCACCTCCAATCACTGATAATTTTCATTTTATCACGGTTAGTTATTTCAAATTTTTCCTATATAACCTTTTTTGACCTTTTGTTTATTAGCCACAATCAGATATATCTTAAATTGCTCATCATTTTGCTTCAAAATTTATTTCTTTAATTGTTTCGCAATGGTTAAGAATGCATAAAAAAGCGCTGATAAGACTGATGTTTTCTTCAAAAAATGAATTAAATATTATCGAAGTAAAAAAGGAATTCACTTAGAAAAATTAAAATATTTTGAGTAGAAAAAATGCAAATCTGAAATATTTAATATTCATCAAAAAAATTTTAGCTAAACGAAATTAATTTCGAAAAAAATCGAAAACATAACTCGGAAAGAAAAAAAGCACAAAATCGAGTTGCCGCTTCACGTTATCGAGAAAAAAAGCGACGTTTTCGCAACGAACAAACTGATTTGATTAAGAAATACGAAACTAAAAATAAATTTTTGCGATCGAAACGCGATGACCTCCAAAAGGAGATTTATTTCATGCTTAATATTATGGAAGAATTCGGTTTCGCAGACAAAATCAATTCGTTTAAAAAATTCTCAATGAAATCGAAATTTGAGAAATGTTCACGCGATGATATTAATACGACTGATGCCGAATAATTTTTTAACATTCTGAAACTTTTGAAAATTTATAAAAAAAGGCAAAATTTTTGAAAAAAAAATCCAAATATTTTAAAAACTTTTAAAATAATAAAAATTAGTTAACTTCTATTAATTTAAAGAAATGGTTTATCTTTACAGTAATTTTAAAAATCATAAAAAACGACTGGACCTGGAACAACGATTCGTACACTCCCTTAGTTTGTTATTCTAAAATTGATTGGTCAGAATCACTGTTGGTACCATTTCATTATAGATTTGTTGTATATCGGAATTTTCGTTTGCATTCGTTTGTATCTTTAATACCTTACATTTTTCACATTTGTCAATTTACACCTTTTAATCTTATCTTTATATATATATACATATATATATATATTTATATATTATATATGTTTTATTCACCCTTTTTCTATTTTATTATATTTCTATTTTCTATAATAAATTACTGTATAAATTTTGGAATCAATGAAATTTCAAATCCTTTTCGAAAATAAAAATTTCTGAAAGATGCGAATCCTTAATTTTTTGCGCACAAAATATGCGAAAAATTCGATTTGAAAGAATTTAAGAGAATGAACACATTGAATCTGTATAAAAAACAAATTTATTAAAAAGGTTACTTGGTAAAAAACAAATAATAAAAATAAGACCACCTCTATTAAAGAAATGATTTATTTTTACGATAAAATGGGTGAAAACATGAATACACGCGCGTTATTTTGCTATTTTCCAATTAACTTCATAATTCAACCTTTCCACTTTTTAAATTTTCCTTCTGCAACAAATGCAAATCATTAAGAAGCATATTGACACAATTTCGTCCACCTATGGCACTCATCTCTATTGCACTTGCTAACCATTCTATGGCATTAACAAAGCAAATTCGATCAACTAATCGAAATCTAGGACGCAGCAATGGTGGTTTTTTGTATTCGGGATATGCGAGAAATTCGATCTGAAAGATAAATCCTTTTCTATGAACAAGAAATGGTGAAAAAATAGTCTAAATACATAATAGTAAAGTAATAATAAAGTTATTAGAAAAAATGTAATAAAAAATCATGAAAAGCTTCAAGCGAAGAAAAAAATTACAGTTTTCACATCCTTCCTTTCGCTAAATAAATCATCTAGTTGAGCTTGCGACAGAAAATTTTCAGAAAAAACTTTGAAAATTCGTTGCGGACCATCCGATGGAAAGGCTTCATCAATCTGGTAATCAACAGGAGAATTCTGACCTAAAAGAAATAAAAAAAAGAAAAAAATGGAATGGATAGTCTTCAAATCCATGAATTTTGAGTTGATTATAAAAACAAACTGATAGAATTATAAAAAAGCTGATTATTTGATACAAGAATTGAATTGGGAATATTTTCATCATTCATTGACCAGTAAGAAGATCGTATTGATCCCTAAATAAAAAACAATTGAATTATGAATAAAAGCAAATCATGAAATAATGAAGTATTACGAGAAATAATATTTACTTTTTTATAAAAAGTAAAGTGGAAATAAGAAAAAGGAAAAATAAAGAAAAAGGAAAGAAATAATAATACAAATAATAATAAAAAGGAAGGAAATAATGCAAAAAAAAGACCTCCACAAATGTAGCGATGATCTTCTTATAATGGCCATAGTAATCACGAGAAACACCTGATTAATTTAAAAAATTTATTCCATCAAATCAACGAAGATTAGCTTTTAAAAGTTTTATTTTTATTTGGATCCAAATTTTTTAAAAATTCGTATAATTAGTTAAACTAACAAAAAATCTTAATTATTAAAAAACTTGAAGGACATATAACGAACAAAACTTCATCAAAAGGAAAGAAAAACCACCTTCAATCGAAATATTTTGATGTTGATGGAGAGGTACCGCCAAAATAATATAATCATATCCTTCTTTAACGATTTTCCCATTCTTATCAAGTCCCTCAATATTATAGAGTTCACCCTCTTTAGTTACATTATTAACACTCATACTGAAAAGAAAATATATGCATTAATGTTAGCAATAAAAAACCCAAAGCAATGCCGCATATAAAAATTTTTTCTAAAAATATTAGAATTATTATATTATATATATTAGAATTCCTGAGAATTTTTTAAAAAAATTTTATCAACAATTAATTTAATGGTTTAAGAAAGAAAGAAAAAAAGCTAATTAATGTGATATAAAACTTACAAAAATATATTGCATCGTGAATCTTCGACCAACTTTTCAACTAATCCTCTGTTAGACCCATTAATTGAATATAATCCAGGAACTCCACCAGCTAGACCAACACTTCCCACGAATGCTCCTAATTCCTGAATAAATAATAATAGCAAGGCATAATACTTAAGCATGTTAAAAAAATTGTGAAGATTGATCAGTTTTGTAACTTCTTTCTTATAACAGCTTACCAATACTTGTTAGGCAAATTCCATTAGTTGGATGGATGAGAGGTTTCCAAGCCTTTAAATCCGATACTGTATCGGAAAATAATCGAACTTCTTTTTACTTCTTCTTCTTTTACAATTGTCTAAATTCCATTGGGCTACTTATGCGCCCAAAAACTTCATGTTCTTTTGATGCTATTCACGTCGTCTTTTCTTCTTCGAGTTTTGCATTTTTAAGTCCAGAATAGAGTTGAACAAAGATGGGACCGCATCCAAAGTGGAGATAAGATTGACTGAAGAGAAAAGTCGAAGATAAATAAGAACTTGAAGCCGAGGATAAAAACTGAAGTTGAGGTTGAGATGAAATCATTTGATTATCCCAGAAAAACAGCATTCGCTACTTTTCGCTATAGTCTTGTAATCTAGAAAATTTAACGCAACTATTGAAGAGAAACTTCTGATCTTTCTGACCTTTCATTTTATTAAAAAATTAATGATTTACCATCACCAAACAAGGCATTAATCGAAATCTCTGGAATTAAATAATTGTGCAGTCAACTCATCTTTAATGATCCGTGGAATTATGTTTTGGGTTGGTTTTCACGCCTCTTATCTGCTAACAAATGGTTTCCATAATCCAATTTATTGTAAATTTAAAAATTATAGAAAAAATGCAGCCGATGCCATTTGGAATTTTGAAAGGATGTTTTCCATAAATGTAGACGTACGCTGGCAAAATATAGCGTTGTTTCCCGTTTCTTCTAATTTTTCTCATCCTGACTTATCTACTGAATTGAAAGCAGCTGCAAGCTTAAAAGTAAAATGACAGTGAAATGACGATATTAGATATTTCAAGCAGTGGTGGCTAGTTTAGGGTGCATACTGCTTTAAGCCTATACATGATGAGAAAAATTAGAAGAAACAAATTTTTGATACGCCGAACATTGGTGAATCATTGCGCTAACCTTGATTGATTGTCCATAATTACAGTTTAGTGCTGCGGACGCGTATTCTGTTATAAAACTGTCGCCAAATTTATTTTGAGAAAGATATTCTTTGATTGTAATATTAACTATATTAGCCATGGTTGGTGAAATTGTCTCCACAAAACTATCTATCGAATCGAATGAGATATTTCTGCTAAAAAATAGCAAATTTTGTAACTTTCTAAATGACAAAGAAAAAAAAAATAACAAAAATATTTGCTAAAAAAACAAGAATGAGACAAACAAACCTCATAAAATCGTATATTCTTGAAAATTCTGACAAAAGAATATTGATTAAAAAATGATTTCTGATAAGATCAAAACCGTATCGACGAAAAAGACGATACATCGTGACAAGGTGCCAATTACTTTTCCGAAAAACAAATTTATTTCCATCCCAAATCCCGAACCCACGCCTATTTACAGGATGTCGCGCCTTTGAAAATCCTGAAAATTCTCATATTCCTTAAGCAATCAATTCATTTATTTAACTCGTTACAGCTTCAAAAAGTCATAATTTCCCATTTATGCGCACTCCATCATTCTACCATTCCATTCTAGAACCATTCTAAAAAAAATATTAGGAAATTTTCTGATTGTTTTAACAATTTTTTAATGAATTTAATTTAATATTCGAAGCAATCTTTTCTATAAATTTTTGCTTTTCCTAAATAAAAATAATGAACAGAATAAAAATTATAAACTATAAATTTGGTCATAATTAAACTACAAAAATAAACTATAGAAAACTTTTTATTATATTCTAAAGAATTTCTAACAAACCATATTCCTTAAGCCATTGATTCATATATTCGTTTTTAGGATGGATGATACTCGCTCCAGCTTCAAAAGATCTTAGCTTTCCATTCATACGCATCGGCACAGTTGTAATACGACCTGGAAAAATAGCAAATAACAGACTATTGACTATTAATAACTAATTTTTGCAAAATTTTGCAGTTTTAAAGTTCATGCAAAAAGAAAATAAAGGTGCATAATGAAACTAAACCTCCAATATCACTGTCAGTGAAAAGATCAATTTCAGCATCGATAATTTTAGGTAATAATTTACGTAAATAATAAAGCGATGAAGCACCACCAATTCCGCCACCGATTACTCCTAAAAAAATTTTTTTATTATTTTAGTGAAAATTCATAAATTAAATTAAAAAATGCACAAAAACAGAAATATTCCGCAAATAATATTTATTCCTTATTTTTACTTTATATTTTTTTCCTTATATAATTATTATTCGTTTTTTCTTTAAGGTTTAACTCGCTCTTCTAGCTTTTCGCACCGAAGAAATATACCAAGGAGTCCTTCGGCGACAGAAGTACAAGTGAGTCGCACCACCGGATTTTTGGATAGCTTTTCCCTTACGAGGAATCGGACCTCAGCATCGGTGCCCCAAATTGAGCAACAACCCATTGAGCCATTCTATCCTCATTAATAGTTTTTTTATGTTTTGTTCTTTGCTTTATTTGTTAAATTTGCTTTTTCTTTCTTATAAAATATTCGATCTGCTTGGAATAAAGTAATAATAATAAGTTCTATATAAATAACTGAGTGGTCAGCGTTTATTTCTGGTTTAAACTATTGGACTAACAGAGACCTAAATATCTGGGAACCACTTGGGGAGACAGAAATACAGGTGGGTAGTCAGTGCATCACTTGGAATTTTTAACGGGCTAACTCCTGTCGGAAACAAAATCCGAACTATAAATGCTTGAGGCGATAATTTAGCGACAAACATTATCTCCTAATTCGCATGTTTAAACCAGGAAAGAATTTCGCGATACTTTTGACTTAGAAGTATTTTCGACCTTTTCTTCTGCTTCGAAAAAGAAATGGTACTACGACGAGGGAAAAACAAGATTTAAATAAGAATTCTCAAATTTGTAAAATTAGAAAATGGTCGGAAAAAACTAACCTATTTTTAAACATGAAACAGTCGATAACGAAACAAAAAACGTGAGAACTGTTAGTAACGAGCTTGCCATTTGTCCTGAAATTATTCCTTCTTCAATGGGTAATTTTATCTTAAATTGTCGCTGGCAAGTACTGGCAAAGACCGCTCTAAACGATAAGCGGAAACGCTGACGTACCATGCATATTTTCTTAATGCTCCTTCTCGAAACCCCCCCGCTGCCATCGCATTTAGAGACTGTTGAAGGACTACAAAAGTGCGTCACTGAAGGTGAGAAGGCGGTTTTACCAGTTGGCTAATGCCGCGAATTACATACAGCAAAAGGGGATGAAGGCAATGCGCGGTAGCCGCGCAACGGCCCGGAAAATTGAATATTGTTTCGAAATTCGTTCCACTGTAAAAAATGATTGATAAACTAACTCGAAAATTTGATTAAGCGGAAAACTCACTCACTATTAAAGCAATTTGATGGCTACGGATTAAATATGAGGCTGTTATGTTCGATATATTTGTAGGATCACTTTATCACGAACGGAATTCTTGCATTTCAGTAGGAATTTTGTCTGTGGTGTTTGGTGAGGAAAGATTTGCACCAGTGGATCTTTAGGTGTGGTCGAATGAATCGAAAGCTTTATTTTATTTTATTTTATTTGATCTATTAATCTACGGGCCATTTTCTTTTGTTATTATTTTAGAGCAGAATTTTTGCATTCATTTTTCCATTTAATTTGTTAAATTTTCGAATATTTTTCTTGCAAAGTTTAATTTGTTAATTGACTATTCGCGTAATAAAGCGTTAATTTATTTATAAAAAATTATTTATTTTAGATTTGTCGCAGAGAAATGTTTCGGCGACAAACCATCAGTCTTGCGGTATTATTTTTTATCTAATTCAGATTCAGATTTTAATAATAAATTCGCCATTTATTTATATTTGAAATTTATTACAACGTGTTAGGTACTGATCGATTAATGTATTGCTTTAAGGCCGAGCGCTTGGCTCCGATTCCTATTCTTTGGCTTGATAAGGGTAAACTGGGCAATATAAGTGAAATCCCTATTGCAGCTGGGATCCCATCTTTACATCTATCTCCACCGACTCTCTAAGTGTCGATTATCTTATCATAATAGTTAATGGTAAGCCAGAAGTGGTGAAAATTGCTGAGAAGAGAAGCAGGTTACGATGGAGCCATTATTTAAGAGTTCTTTATTCTCATGCAAAGATTTTTCAGTTTTGTCATTTTTCAGTTTATAAAAATTAATCTCATTTCCTTCTTATTTAAGGAAAAGTAAAAAAGTAGAGATGTAAAATAAAAATAATTTAGTCGAAAACTTGCCAATGACATTTTGTTTTTGGAAATTTTTGTTTTTGAAAGTTTTTTCAGAAACATTTCGCAACAGCGACTACAGTTAATCCTAAACAAAGCATAAATATAAATTCTACTGAAAAAGTAAGTGTTCTGAGTTAGTTTTAAATTGATTTACACTTAATTTAGAAATGAAAAGATTGGGTGCAAGTTTTTAATTTTCTTAAAAAATCTTCATAGCCTTGAAAACATTTGAATGTTTGAATTTTTACGTTTATCACTGAAAAATCATTTCATAAGAGATTTCATTTTTTTTATTTTTGTTGCAAATTTTTCACAAAAAGATTTTTGCTATAAATTTTTGTTATAAATTATCAATTCTTATATTACATAATTTTACAAAAAATTTTTTTTTATTTGTTATGATTTTTTATTTATTTGTTATGATATCAAATTTCTTTGTTATTGCTTTTAAATTAACGGTTTTTGATTTGGCAGTTTTGTAAATTATTCTTTTATTATATAGAATTCGTAATTTAATTTACTCATTTTTTTCAAAAACTGGTTTTTTAAGTTATTTGCAGATTTCGAAACTACCAAATGGATTGACTGTCGCATCTGTAGATACAGGAGGAGTTATTTCGCAATTAATAATGGGTTATCGTGCGGGATCACGATACGAACAGTATGATGAAGCTGGTCTAACGCATCATTTGCGTAATGCAGTTGGTACGGATTCGGCGAATTACGAAAGCTCCTTAATGCTATGGCACTGTGGAAGCGCTGGAGCACGTTTAATTTCTTCCTTAACTCGAGATTTATTTATGGTTCAGATGTCGATCGTTCGTGATCATGCTTCAATTGGCCTTTCTCTATTGGGTGAATTGTCTCAACCAGCTTTAAAACCATGGGATATTGAAGATCGTAATGAGACTTTATTTGTCGACCTCGATTATCTCACTCCTCTGGAGAAACTAATGGAAAAACTGCATTACGTAAGATTTTTTTCTTATTTTCATTTTTATTTTTTGGAAATGAAAAGCTGATAGTTGGTAAATTAATTTTCCATGTGATATTTCTCGAATGATGTTTTTTACAATTACTTTTTGTATTATTTTAAATAATATTAATATTTCATTAAATGATAATATTTCAAATAAATGTTAATAAATATTTTATTTTAAATTCATATAAATTAGCAATTGCGTTCAGGCTGCCTATCGTGAAGGTCCTCTTGGCAACAGACTATTTGCAGAAAGAGATAGAGTTGGAAAAATCACCTTCGATCAGTTACAGAACTATGCTGTAAGTTTTAATTTATAGTAATTCATCGATAAATTATTTGCTTCCAATAGAATATTGTTCTTTCAGGCATCGCGACTTGTAAGTGGGCAAACGATTCTCTTTGGCTTTAATATAGATCACAATCAAATGCTGAAATATGCTTCTGAGCAGCTAAATATGAATGAATCGTCTGGAAAAGCTGGTGCTCCATCCCCTTATTATGGTGGAGAAATTCGTTACAAGCAAGATATACACGATGTGCATGTTGCTATTGCTGGGCAGGGGAATTCGTTGAAAGATTCCAAGGTATGTTTTAATTTAGAAAAATAAACATGGAAACATAGGAAGTCATTTTGTTATTATGGTATTGTTTCTCAGTATGAAACCATGTTAACAAATCAAAAATAATATTTTATTGCATATTTCTTTCGTATTTCTGTTGCATAATCTTTCATTTTTATAGGCACTGGCTGTTCAAGCAGTTTTTAGCGCCGCTTTAGGTCAGGGACCATCCACCAAATATTGTTGTCATTTCGGTGGTCACGGCATTGTTGCTGAAGCTGTCTTTGTAACTGCTTTTCAAATATTTATTCCACTTTATTATTAATGATTATCGTCAATTTATTTTATTTTTCGATAATTATATGAGGGATAAAATAAATAAACTCTGAAAATTTTTCATTTTCATTACTTTTTTCATTTTTGACTTTGTTTTTAGTTTTAAGGTTTTTATTTATTTATGACTTGTATTTTACGACATTAATAGAAAATGACGAATTTTTATTTTAGAAAGCTTCAAATAGTTATCCTTTCGGGATAGCAGCAATTAACGAGGTCTATTCGGACAATGGCCTGGTTGGTATTTATTTAACTTGTGATGGTGATCGTGCTGCTCCGTTAATTGATGCAGCGATAAAAGCCATTAAAAACTTTTCGATCAGTGAAGCAGAAATACGTAAAGCAAAGTGAGTAAATTTTTATAAATTTAATAAAACAAGTACAATTGAGCGTAGACTTTCACTAAGTTCACTAATCTGTAATATTCGCAATTTTGGGTATGTTAACATAAATAGAACTATTGAAATTTGTGATATTTGCAGACTATAAGCAAAAAAAAAGCTTATATAACTCATAAGGTTAATAAAATAGTCCAGAATATTATATACATTTTATACATTTCTTCTACATTTAAATTAATAGTATAATTTAAAATAGTTCTAGGCGATTAACGGACAATAACTGTTATTCACTATTTTTATTTATAATATTATAGTATTTATAATATTTTTTATTTTCTAGTTTTGAATAGAGGGAATAGTTCAAAATGTTTTTAATCGCTCAAAAAATAGGTTTTTCGAGTCGAAATAAAATGTTTCATAAATGAATCATATTGAATCAAAATTTAACAACGAATATTTAATTTTTATAAAATGTTTGAATCATATATTTTATTTTTATTTTATTTCCTGTATATTCAATATATGAACTGAATATATGTTGGATTTATAATAAATGAATTAAATGTAAATTCATATTTAGGTATGTTTAAATAATTTTTAGGTAATAGATAATTTTTAAATTTTAAATTAATATTTATTAATTTAATTATATTATTGAGTAAACAATTAATATTTCTTGATTTAAGCGATATCATTGTTAATTTTCTTCTTCTTCTAAAAGCTCTTACCATTACTGGTTAGGTTGACTCCGCGGTTTGCAAGGTTAAAACATCTCCAAAATGCTCGGTCCTACGCCATCGCTAGTGGTAATAGTAGTCATTTTTTTTTCTATCGTCTATTTCCGTATATTGCTGGTCCCCCTATACGTCCAAAATTTTTCCTGACTTTATCAGTCCAGGTTTTCATTGGCCCTCCTCACTTTCGACACCAATTATCACAGGGTTCAACAAGTAGCGAAATTCCTGCGAAATGCGTCAATTCCTGTGGTGGACGACGAAGAACATTTTCTAACCAGCTAAGGTGATGCTTTGTGATAACATTATTAATATAGCCTGGTATTTGAGCGAAGATATATGCGATTTTATCCGTTCGATGGAACCGCAACAAGTATCTTAGATATAAGTGGTCAGGCTGATAGTTTCTTAATATCTTCTATTCCCGTTGGTCATATTTCGCAGCCGTATAACAAGATCGAGCGAATTGTGGCTATAAGGACACGGACTTTTGTGTTTATGGTGATTTCGCGACGGTTGCATAAAGATAACCGGAAAAACACATTTCTGCCTGTCGTTATCCAGATTTCATCCTTTGCCTGACCATTTTGGATTAGAGTAGATCCAAGTTATTTGAAGTTGGATATTCCCTCAATCAACGATGAATTGATAAAAATAGGTATTTTATTAATATCATGTATATATTACGAAAACACTTTCATTTTAATTATATTGATTTTGAGTCCAATTCTCACTGCATTATTAATTTTAAAATTTGTTTAAAAAAAGAACTATAAGAAGGAAGCTGCACAGTTTGAATACGCCATGCATACCACATATAGTGCGCAGCGCCGACTTAGCTTTGCTTCTTTGTCCTATTGTTAAAAAACTGTTTCAAAACGTAGTTCTCCTAATGCATGTGAAAGAGAATAGGAAAAGTGATAACTTTGAAAAAGAAAGAAAAGAGGAGGAGTATGAAAGGCTTCGTAGTGGAATGTCTGCGATTGATCACCATTAGGAATAAATAAGCTGTGAAGTACCTTCAAGGAAAAAAGGCATAAAGCCGTTGGTGCCGCAGTAGCCCCTGGATAACTCTTACTAATGGGAAGTATAATTTTTATTTTATCACAAGAATTTTCGGTAATCCGCTGAACGTAATGGAACAGGAAGATGGGCAAAATATAACTAAAGGTTACAAATTTAATGTAAGCAGAGAATGTTTTGAAAACCCCAAATTTAAATGTGGTTTTGGCAATGTTAGGATTTCTGAGGAAGGAGCGGATGTCAATGAAAAAGCCGGAAAAAAATTGTCTAAAACTTAAAAAAACTGCTCTATCTTGGAAAAAGTATCGGTATCGGAGAAAGCTTTTATTATGAAAGAAAAGAAAACTCCAGAATTACACAGGAAATAATGGAATTTAACATAGAAAATTTAATAGATGGACTTTTTGATCATTGGTTAAGCTAAGAGGTAAGAGTAGGAAAGCATTTATTCATACATTGGTCACCTCACGAAACTCAAGGTTCCAGGTAGTTCTTTATAGCTTTAGTTGTTTTTATAACTTGTTCTTATAACTTTTTTTGGATGAATTTTCAGATGATTGGTACTTTTTTTCTCTTTTATTCTGTGAATTTTTGAGGTTTTATTTAAAATCACTGTTTGTAGAACAATTTGATTTTAATTTTCAGTTAAGTTTCGTAAGCTATTTTGTTATCATTTTAGTTACCAGAGTCTTTTCATTATATTTATGAAAGAATTATTCAGGGCTATCGCTACAATGAATGTATATTTTCGATCGGAAAACTCGAGTGCTGTTGCAAGAGATCGAGTTGAACAAATACTGGCTACTGGTCAAGCTACAACAATTTCAGATTTTGTTAAACTGATTGATTCTGTCACTTCAGCTGATGTTAATAAGGTTAATTTCTTTCGAATGAACTTTGATTTTTTAATAATTTAATAATGACTCATTTTTATTTCTTAGATATTTCACATTTAATTAATGTGGTACAAAATTACCATTTATTGTTATTTTTTTTCGTTTTTCGACAGCGGAAAAATTTTACAGTTGGCTAAACAAGTGAGCTCGAAACTAACGCTTGTTTCGTATGGTAATGTTTATAATGTTCCTTATTTGGACAATTTGTGATATTTAAAATGATTTGGTTTTGTTGTTTCGAAACTGCTTTTTTAGAGATTTTAAAAGTGCTTTAGCACTTCAGATTTTTATATTATTTGGTATTTAGTTTTAAATTTGTTATCTATATATATTTTAGAAAATATTGTTCATTTTCCTATAAAGGAATTTTAAAATTTGTGTTCATTTTAATAAAGCATTATGTATGCGAAGATTTTCTGTTATTTTGATAGCACTATATAAACTTAATAATATATTTAATATTTATATGATGAAATTTTAAAAAACAATGAAATAGGCTAGTAATTATTCAATAATCAACCATGACAACGAAAGTTCATGCTTAGGTAATTAAGTTGCCATAATTCTGTAAATGTTTTTATCGTTTATCGTTAAATGAAATTTTAAATGGCTTTATTATTTCCATTCATTTGATGTTTCTTCTATAGAATATAATTTCTTCGTAAATTTTTTGGATTGATGAAATGCAGCCTTATCATCAGTTTTTGGATATCACTTTCTGAAAGTAATATGCAAAAATCAAATCAGCATTTATCAAGATCCAAAGCTTGCTTTCGACACGAGTAAATTTATTGCAGCAAAGGAATTCGAGTCGGAGTGAGTCGATCTTGCGTTGCTGTATATCCCCAGGCGGGTTCGTGGTAAAAATTTCTAATTTTAGCAATAGCCAGTGCAGTAAGAAATGATGTGCATTGGCCACTTATTTAATTAATTCAGCATGTTGTGGCTTATTCATCTGTTGTAGGAAATGTTGTAAGGTTTATAAAAAAAATTTAGAATTCTATCAAAGCGTTCAATTTTCATCTTTGTGTTGGTGTTTAGTACTTGTAGATTGCGCACAGATTTTACACGATAGTTTTTTCACATTTTTGTCTACCAATATATTTCAATTTTACAGAAATTCTCTAGAAAATTAAATTTTTAAAAGAATTCATAACATTTTTAGGTTTGAAAATTTTGTTATAATTTATTTCATTCATATTCATATTCATTCATATTTGAACAATACAGCCGTATGAATGATTTACATTTTACTAAACATTTGGAGAAGTATCATTTATTATTTGAAAACAATTAAATGGGCGTTAAGCGCCATGTGCTTGCATTAATAACAACAAATAAGGTGTTTAATGAAAAATTATTGGTACAAAATACAAAAAAATTGAAGCCAACAATGCAAAGAAGAAATAAAAGGGGAATGAAAACTGAAAGAAAACTGAAAGAAAATCGCTAGACTGCATGATATGAAATTTCTAAATAAAAATATGGATGGTATTATTTCATGAATGATATTTTTTATTTTTTTACCTTTTTTTAAGGATGGTCAATTGAATACACTTATAACTACCAGCTTCGAGCCATTTTTTAGATGTCTGAAATTTCGAAAATGTCTGAAAACTTTTTCTTTCGAATTTTTCTTCAAAATTCCTGTAAATTAGTATTATTTTATATTTTGCTCAAAAATGAAAAAAATTAAAATAAGATCGAAAAGATTAGATAAGCTTTTTGAAAGTGTGATTTGATAGATAAGGAATATGCAAAAGTCTCAGCAAATTGATAAAATTTGAAAATTTCAAACGAATGAACCGACTTCGAATGCAACCGAATCTATTCTCGGGTTTTAAATAGGGCAGTTCAGAGTTTAGAGCTATTTTGGACAGAATATTTAAAGCCATTAAGTAAAGTATCCGATGATATTGATGAAATACGTAATAATATGTACTACCTCCCGCTAAAAAATTTTGCAGTAATTTTCATTTTCCTTCTGCTAAATAAATTTATGAAAAAAGAATTTTGCTAAAATATACAATTATATTTATTTTTATTGTATTTAATATTTTTTTAAAATAAATTTAATTAATTAAGAATAGTTGAAATTTTTCATGAAAATTTTGTAAAAATTTAATTTTAAAATTTAAATTTAATTTAAATTTGATAAATGCCAAATATACGATTCGCAATTGCATTTCTTCTAATTGGAAAGCGAATTTTTGCGACTTTTTTTTCATTTGTTGAATTTAGCTGTTTTTATTTTTAGTGTTAGCGAGAAGATGTGGGAAGGAAAAGATAAGATAAGTCAATTATTTTTCTCCTTCATTCTTTTGTTGTTCAAACAGTTTTTTCGTATTCGTAAAAAA